GCACGCGAGTTTTGTACTCCATTTCCAGAACCTTTTGTCAAGAGAGTGGGAGTATGGGTGGCGGTCGGTTACCGGTAACCGATCGGTCGATTATCGATTAACCGAAAGGCCGGTTCCCCAACCGACAACCGACCAAAATAGACTTCGATTTTCTCGGTTATCTCGATTATCGGTTAACCGCACCACATTCAAAACCAAAACCATATCGTACAGCCTCCGATAACCGACCGAATTTTGGTTATATCGGTTACTAATTAGTGGTAACCAGTAACCGAACCTCCACCCCTAAGTGAGAGGTTAGCATCTCCCATGTGTTTAGGGAGGAGAATCGTTAAGTCAATTGTTTGGCTCTTTGAAATTTTTCATGTTATCTTTGGTGCTCATTTTGTTTTTAAGTAGGATGCTATTATATTGGACCGTGTATGACATTATGTAAATCTATTAGGGGTGACAAACGGTTAGTCGGTAATCGGTTTATCGATTTACCGAACTGGTAACCGATAAACCGGTTACGGACGGTATCGGTAGTCGAATGAGAATGTGGGATGTTCGGTATACCGGCCCCATTAACGATAAATACCGACGGTTAATCGGTAATACCGATACTGGGGGACGACCAGTATGCCGCGTTTTACACCCACCAAACCAAACCCTAAAATCCCTAAATCGAAACCGAGCCTCTCGCCCTCTCCTTCTCCTCTTCTCATGTCTCCACCAGGCAGCCCCAAAATCGAAAGTCGAAGAAGCCCAGCCCAGAACAGAGACGGTGGCGTCGACTCATCCTTCTCTTCGTCGCGCGCCTCCTCTTTTCGTCGACCGTCGCGCTTCCCTGTCGTCTGCTTCCTCCTTCCCTGTCCGTCATCACTTTGCTCTGCGAATGCGAAGCCGCGACTCCCCCTTCCGGCTTCTTCCTTCCCTCCGTGTCTGCTTCCTCCGCGACGCCGCTGTCGCCTTCCCTTGCTCCTTCCCTCCGCGACACCGTTGTCGTGGTCCGTGGCGGTTTCGAAACACGTTTCACCTTCTCCTCGCGGTAAATCGGTAAAAACCGATTTGTAACCGTTTATCGAGTATTCGGTAACTGGTAACGCGGTAACGATATTCGATCCCTCCCACGGCGTGCTCGACATACCAATTACCGGGTCAGTCGGTAACCGGTTTATCGATTACTGACCGAATACCACCCCTAAAATCTACGCGCCCGGTGTGTTATGCTATGAGATAGTGGCGCATTGCACGAGTTTTCAATATATATATATGGTGGCGTCTTCGGCGCACTCACTTTTTTGGGTGCATTCAGTGCACTCACTTCATAACCGTCATTTTAAACATGCGATTCATATCAAAATGATGCCAATCATCACTTATGATGTGATGAACAATAAAAGCACATGAATTTGCACAAAAACCATTCAAGATTTACTTTAATTTGAAAGATTTAGAGTTTAGAGATTTAAGGTTAGGGTTAGGGTTTACAATTTGGGTTTTAGTGATAGAATTCAAAATTGGAGGTCTAGGCCTTAGGGTAATCCGTTAATAAGTTGTTGTCATATGCTATATCATCTATTACACTAATTATACAAATTAAAATTCAAAATCTGACACCTTAAGACTAGTTTTTGAGTTGGGTGCATTGAACGCACTCATTCACATAGAACAATCAAGTTATTTAAGTATTATTGGAATCGACAAAGTTTATTATTATAATTTGAAAGACGGCATAACCTTTGCCCAAGGAACTGGTAAATGCTGGTAGGTATGATCGATATATATGTTCGGTCAAGGAAATTATCTATTGCACGACAACAAGAATAAGACGTGCGGTTTCGTGTGAATTTGACATCTAGTCTAGTTTTAAAAGCAGAGCTACAATTGCAATTATATGTTAAAACATATTTTTAATTAACTTGATAATCTCACAATTAGGTCAATTACGTACGGTAAGTATTTGTACATGACAACAGGTCATTGTTTAATCAGCTCAAAATGGTTGGTGACTGACCCAGTTACGAGTAGGCGGAAGTTTCTTCCGTTTCCATGCAAGTTAGTGAATGGTTGTCCTATAATTACAACTGAATGGCTAAACAACGTCCTAATTCAATTAGGGCGATTGTATTAGAATTAGGGTGACAATTAGCAATCCCCAATTACAAAGAGTGAATTAATCCAATTAGGGATGGCAATTTACCCACCCATGGGTAATTTTGCCCAAACCCAAGTAGACCCATTTGTTATGGGTAGGGTTTGGGTGATGTGTGTATGGGTTTGGGTTAGATATGGATATTATCTAAATGGGTATGGGTTGGATATGGGTATCCATTTACTTGAGGGTGTTTTAACTACACATGCAAAAATTGGACCTATTTGTAAAACTTGAAAAGTTTAGGTACCAAAATCGTAAGACCAAAAAAATTTAGGTACCAAAACGTAATTTTCCATCGATATTTTGAGGACTTATATGCAAAAAAAATTAAATTTAGGTACTAAATATGCATATCTATTAAGTTTAGGTACCAAACTGTAATTTGTATTTGGGCATGGGTACAAACCCAAATCCATTTGTTATAAACCCAACCCAACCCAAAGTAAATGGGTATGGGTACAAACCCATCAAACTTTACCCATATCCATATATTTGGATTTCATACCCAACCCAATTGGGTTGGATAGTAAGATACCCATGGGTATGGGCATAATTGCCATCCCTAAATCCAATACTTTGCTCATGCTTTTGCTTATCTTGGTAGGAATGCAAGTATTCCCTATAGTTGGCAAAAAATAGTGGCTTCGCCCGGGTTCGAACCGGAGACCTTCAGTGTGTTAGACTGACGTGATAACCAACTACACCACGAAACCAACTGATGTACACAAATAATTCTGCCGCCTATCTCAACTGCGATTGTACCGCAATGATAAACCATCTCACAGCAGGGGAAGAGGAAACCGCTATAGTATTTCTAACACACATTTTATTTGGTCAAGTGTTATTGCAATTTCCAACGAATTAGCATTTTGTATTCATCACACACAGTACAATAAAGGAGATGTTAGACTACATAGATTGAGAATCTACAGCTACAATCAAACGGGAGGAAGATTTTGCAGAGCTAATGCAGTATTTGAGAGGGTTACATCATGACGATCAAATTGGGCAATAAAAGAAAGCTTTAGCAAACCTTTGGGGACCATCGAACGAATTATCGTCATTTAATCTTATTTACTTACTATTATTGAATTATTTTATCAACACGTTAACATAATTAAATATTTAACATTTGTCTACCAAAAAATATCGTGATGAATTAAAATCTAGATATTTAACCATTAAAACAATCTGAGAATTTTTTTCGTCAACTAGAAGTCAATGAATTTTTCTTCCTTTCAGGGTTTTGAAAAGGTGCCCATATAAACCTTCTCACCCCACTTTGGTGCCCTGCAACTCACCTCTATACAATGAAATTGGTCTTTCGTATTTGCGACTAGTTAACCCATATTGTATTAGTTAACCATATAAATTTATGTGTATTATTTTTATTTACATAGTCAATTTCCCGTTATATATTCCATTTGTAAAATAAATCAATTAATTTGCTTGAAACCAACATATATCCAATGAAGTAGCAATTACAGTACATTGGTGCTATTGCTGAGGCCTGAGGGTACTATTATAAGAAAAGGAAACCTAGTAAATGGGCCCATCCAGTGGGCTTCATCATTGCATCACAGCAATGAGCGGCAGGCAATCCCTATGATTCCTATTAAGGCCCATCTTAGGCCTACACAGGTTAAGTGCTGTTAAGTAATGGGCCATGACAGGCATTAGCTGCATTTTGTGTTTATATCCGGATTATCAATCCACTAATTTTGTTACAAACAATTAAACCTAAACAGTAGTGGCAGAAATGATACGTTCTTCTGGGACGATGCATGTCCCACATAATAATAACACTAATATTATTCGTAATGATCTTAAAAAGAAACAAGGGGTGGAGACAGATCAAACACACATCCTCTTTACTGGAATCAAACCCATCAGCAGTGGAAGAAAGCCTAGCTCCCTCGTCAAGAATTCCCTGTAATTATAAATAAAGTTGGTAAAAGATTGTTGTTGTTGTTTGTATTTCATGACAACATTTTTAAAAAATCAACGTTTTAACTGATTTTCTATCCAACCATTTAAAAATCATTCGAAATAGTTGCTAACCATCCAAACAAATATACCTACCTATCATAATAACGTATCGACGGCAATTTGACCGGTCCGATCGGTCAGTCTGGTTCTTATAACAAGGAAAAAAAACTTTGTGGTGGCGTTTGCAATGTGCTACTGTGGTGTTTATCGTTTGATTTTCCCAGCCAGCCAGTTGGGATTTTGGATGGTCTATCTCCGTTGTTTTCAACCTCTGCCTCTTCCCTCCCCCTTTGTCATAAATCATAATGATAATATGACATATTATGATCTTTGTTTTTTTGCCCCCACTTATAGTTTAAATTATTATTATTATCACAGGTGGTGGGTATGTTTTCCCATCTTTACAAGTAACCATCACAAAGCATCCACCCACTTACAACAAATCCTCATTAAACTAATTTTATTTCCACTCAGATATTTTTACCCAATACAAGCCAAATACACCATCGAATAATAGAAGAATCAATCAAGGCATCATCCCCTCCATTATTATTCAAACCTGCCGGCTTCTGCAGATGGAAACTATAAAAAAAAAACAAGAAAGAACCCATAAATCTCCTGTTTCTTGCGTGAAAGATACCAAATTCATTTCTCAAATGCCCCATGCCTTGCGGCACAAGCAAAGATACATACACATAATGTATAACCTTGGTTTGATTTTGCAGTTGTCCCTCTTTTAAAATCAATCCGACTATGGTGCTTAGAAGGTTTCGGGGGAATGCTGTCACGGTGGTAAAATGCAATCGCGTCCATCCAATGATTACGTAACAACTATCCTCGATCCAAAGGGATGCGGAATCTTATAACGAGACTGGAAAGGAATTGATACACTATGCATATATATATTTTTTTCACATGAAAGTTTTTCAGATGTAACGGTGACTACATTGTAAGTAAAGTAAAACCCCCTCTAAATTTGAACAAGCGAGCAGCAAAATGAGGGGCAAAAACAACTACCAGGAAATAGGGGAAGAGTCACCCTAGACAAACAGCAAATTCCAAAATCAGAGAAAGAGAGAATTAGGTCTGAAAACAAAAATTACAGAAAGGAAAAGAGAAAAAAGTCAATCAATCCCATTAGGTGCGACGGCCGAAAGCTAACGCAACGAACAATTGGTGCGCCGAAAGGATTCCTTCTCCACCTTTTTTGATTTTCCTGCCCCTTGCTTCTTTCACGCATTTTGTCAAACAAGTTGGACGCGTTTTCGATGCTTCCGATTACCGCTTTCATCGACTCCACCGCCGTCAGCTGCTGGAGCCTGAGAATTGCCGGACCGAACAAGCTACCACCTGCGCCCACTGCCGCAGCCGCGTCTTCACCGTCTGAGGATTCTCCCCTGTACACACAAAACACCCCACCGATCCAATTCAATTCAATCCAATCACTTTCACGATGAACAAGCAAGAGAAACTGAAATTTGAAATCGTTAATTTTGAGTTGAATTATACCTGGGCCGAAGATGGCGCGGGCCGGGCTGCCGACGGGAGACGGCGAGTCCGGGTCGCAGTCGGATGACGCCGTGTGCGAAGACGGCGTCTCCGTGAACGACTTGGAGACGGAGTCGTTGTAGTGCTTGTTGACGGCGTAGTACAGCCCCAGCGCCGGCAGGGTGTTGGAGAGCCGACGATCGACCTCGGGGGAATCGAATCCGAATCCCAGCTCGATGCAAGCCTTGAGCTCGTCGACGTCCTCGTCCGTCACGCTCTTGCTACGGCGGTTTTTGCTGCTCTTTTTCCGCCTCAGCCACGCCTCGTCCCGGTATATGTCCGGCGACCAGGAGTGCTGCTTGTAGAGCGGCGCCGCCGCCCTCGCCAACGGGTGTTTGAACGACGGCGGTGGAGGCAGGAAGAACAACGGCTGGTTGGACGGTGGGGGAGGAGGCGGCGGTGGTGGAGGTGCGGAGGAGGAGGGGTGGTGGTGGCCTGTCATGGCACAGCCCCGGCGGCGGAGGTCAGAGGACCTCGCGGCGGCGGCCGCCTGTGGGAGGAGAGAGGGAGGGGGAGAGCTTTGTTGGAGAGAGAAAGGAATGGAGTGGAGAGGGGCTTTTATTGGGTTGAGGTGGTGGAGTTTGTTGGGCCCACGACGGCCCGTGATACAATTGGGCTATTGGTTGGTCGGTTTGGGTTATGATGATGACCTGTCAAAAGGAGACAAACCGGCCGCTGTCCGCTGCGCCAATCGCAATGCAACCTGGTGGAATTGGAAATGCGAGGATTGAAAGGAATCAGCTCTGATTAGATAGGAAGAACGAATTAGAAGAATCGAGCTAGCGAGAGAATTAGGGTTTCGATTTGAAGTTTCTCTGTCGATTCAATTTCTGCCGGAGAACCACCCCGGAAAAGATGTGGCACGAGGCGAGGAGATCGGAACGGAAGGTCCACGACATGATGGACGCGGCTCGGAAGCGAGCGCAGCGGCGAGCGGTGTATTTAGCGAAGAGGAGAGGCGACCCACAGCAATCGATTCAGGTCCTCGGCAATCGCTGCCGCATGTACCGCGACGATGGCCTCTACCAAGCCGCTGAGGATCAGCAGGGATTGTATGTTTCCGCTCCACTGATTCAAAGCTTCCCGTTCGTTTCCTTTTTCGGTTGGTTATGGAAAAATTTTGTGCTTCAACGCTGTGTCGCTTGTTGATGAATGACGATCTCAGGATACCTTGGAACGGGAAGGACGATGTGCTGATTGACAGATTCGACGGCCGGGCGCTTCTCGATTTTATTAGGGAGGCCGGCTCTCGAAACTTCCGGCAGCCCGAGAAATCGGAAGAAGAGGAAGAACTGGAAGAGTTTGTTAGTTTTGAGCGTTATCGGGATTTAATTAAGCTTCGGCGTAGAGGATGTCGGTACTTTTTTGCTATTGTTCTGAACCATACTGTTTTTCTTTATTGCTTCTCGCATCCAATTCCAAGCTCTGGTGCTTTTGCTCGTTGCCCCGCACCAGCTGCTATCTACCTCTCGAGGAACTGCTTGGGACTAGGTTTTACAAGCTTGGGTTTCTGTGTGTTGTAACAGTGAATGATGAAGAGGGTTTGCGTCATGTGATGCAAGAGATGGAAGCCAAAGCGATTGCTCCATTTGTTTCCAACAGGTTACTCAAAAAACTTCTGGTTTGCTCTATTGAAGTTCTATGTCAACTTGGGTTGTTATATGCTATGTTCATCGTCTTGTTGTAGCATATATATGTTTGCTCAATAAGAATATCCATGTAGTGTATGTAAGAAACTAACTTTGTTTGATTGACAATATGTTTTGGGAGGTGGATGCTTGATTAAATTCACTGTTCAGTGAAGGATATATTTACTAAATGGATGAATAATGCATTTTCCTTTTTCGGATAATTTATGTTGTTAGTATTTTGCTGATGCAAGGGCGTGGGCTCATTTCATTTTTTTTTTTGGTTTGATTGTCATTTGTGCATCAATGAAATGTTAAAGCCTCCTCCACTCCCCACTTGCTTTGTATAGGTATCTGCATATTACACCCTGGCTTGTGGCAGTATGAATAGAAATGACCTTCCTATCTAGATAGCTAATATATGTTTCTTGGAAAGGATGCGTTTGAAGAAAAAAGTTGTAGTATTTCAGAATGACCTTGTCTGGCTTAATGATATCAGAGTGCCATTTTCAAGGACGACACTGTGCTCAGCTATCCTCTCTTGCTCTGTGTTATGCCTGAATTGAGCTTCATTTATCATGTAGCATCTGGATCTTCACTGTATTCAAGCAGTAATTGTGAAATCTGTTGCTATCATAAATTGATGGGTTCTCTCAGGCTTTTCTTGGCTTAATTTTTGACTCAGTTGTCTTTGCTCTGTTTCATTGCCACAAATTCAGCAAATCTCAGCAGTCACAGCCTCCTGCTAACAAGGGTACATATTCACAAGTGGGGTTTTCTTATGGTGGAGACGGAAAAGAGGAGGAGAAGCTATCAGATGGTGATGATGATGAAGACGACGACGATGAGGATGAGGATGAAGAAGATGAGGACTTTAACAGTGATGACAGCGGTGATGAAGGGATTGATGTTATTGCAAAAGAATTTGGAGTTAAGAGGTTTGGTTGGCTTGTGTATATGGATAAAAAGGCGAAAGAAGAGGAGAAAAGGCAGAAGGAAGTTATTAAAGGCGATCCTGCAGTTGTAAGTTTTAGTAGTGTCCTGTCATCTTTGCTTCATTTATCTCTCAGACCTAACGCCAATGGTCGGAACTTCTGTGATTGCAGAAGAAGTTGAGTCGCAAGGAAAGAAGGAAAGCTTCTCAGGTAGAGAGGGAAAAAGAGAGGGAAGCTGCTAGAATCACTGGGACCAGATTGCTGCGTCATGATCCCTACCGGTAAGCTTTAGTTCTTAAATTTTATAGCCTTGGTTATGATTATAGGTTGTGTGATTTAGAGAAATGCTTGGTCGTATACTTGTGGTGATGGTTCTTTTACGGCTGTGTAGGGAATCTAGACGTAGTCCAACTTATGAAGCTTATTCTCGTTCCAGAAGGTATTCCTGTTCTTTCTAAGTGATTTGTGGTCCTTTCCACTGAAAGAGTTCCAATCATATTCTGATTCCTAACTTGCTGTTCTTTTCTATATTTGCAGATCAAGGTCGAGATCATACTCTCCATCACACTCTAGACGTCACAGCCGTGCTGGTCACTCTGACGATATTCATCGAAGCAAAGCTAAGAGTCCTAAGATAGAGTATATCACTGAATTTGGGGGCTCTGCTACTGCCGAAGAGCCGAAGTTTAAAGGATATTCTCCACCACCATCTCCATCCCGGACTGATTTGGTGAACCGGTCGGAGCACTTCGACCTTTTCAATTCTTGCAAAAAGATAGTTTCGACAGTCTTTAACTCTGCTGCAGTTTGACCATTTTGTTACCCGGGGGAAACTTCTGTTGGTTCAAAATTGACCAGGGCTGGGGGTTATCTGCAATTCTGCATAACTACCTGCCTGGGTGGAGGGCAGAAGCTTCCTTTCCTGAAGCTCATCATTTTCCCCCTTTACTTTTACCGGATATGATCAACTGATTTACATGGGAGCTGTGAACTAGGTTTATCTAAAGTTTCTGCTTTCCTGCAGGCCATCATCTGGTCGTATACTTGAGGCCCTTCATGTTGACCCAGCATCTGGTGTATCTCTTGACAAGGATAAAACTGCGAAAGAGTTGAAACCTTCTGCAAGGTATGTATGTATACGGCTAGATAGACAACTATTTTATGAACTTTTAAATATACTGTTGAGTAATTTTGCTGGTGTTTAGAGGCAGTTGGTTTAAAATATTTCCCCTTTTTGTTTTAGTTTTCACCGAATCGGCTAATTTTCTTCTACTATAGCTGCAGCAGCTCCTCAGGGTTATCAAAACTAAGCAAGACAATTGTTTCTGGGGGAGCTGTAAAGCAACAGGCAGGGGAGAAAAAGGAAACTCCGCAGGAGAGGCTTAAAAGGATTATGAACAAGCAGCTAAATAAACAAAGTATGTGTTGAAATGTCCATGTCCATGTCCATGATCTTCTAGTTCAGCAATTCCTTGCATACATTAGGCCTCTGCTGAGTTAAGATTCAATTTCAATGATTAAACTGCCTTCATAGCATGCATTTTCCCCCGATTTCACTATATTCCTTTTCCCCCATAAAGTGGCTTGTTTTGTTGCTAGAAATATTTGCCAATACATTTTATGCTATGTTTCTCCAGTTAAGAAGGACACCGTTGCTGAAATGGCTAAAAAGAAAGATCTAGAGCGGCAGAGGATGGAGAAACTAGCAGAAACAAGTCGGATTAGTCGTTATAGACGGCGTAGCCGCAGCAGGAGTCACAGCCGTTCTCCGCCAAGGTAAACATCGTGCTTAGCATTTAGCAGGTCGTTTGGCCAATGGATTTTTAGAATTGATCGATTTTGAGGAGTACATAGGTTTTCAGAAATAATAGATTCTGAAATTCATTGTTTGGTATGTGCAAGTATCAAAACTATCATTGCGTTATGATGTTTTCCCCCTTTAATTAGCGAGGGTAATCTAGTAAAGTGAACTAATGAATTTCCAAAGCCACGGGCTGGGCTGTGGTCAATCAATTATCAAACCCCCAAATCCATCCTTTTTCTTTATGATCAAACAATGGATCTGAAACAATGGATCAACTCATGGACTCTGCCTACCATCCATCAGCCAAACAACCTCTAAATTTACTTCTAATGTGTTGCTATTTTCAGCCGAAAGAACCGACACAGCAGAAGTCGAAGTAGGAGCAGGAGTTCACGGAGGCACCATTCGAGATCGCGCTCACGTTCACGCTCCCGGTCTCGTTCTCCGACCCATTCGCGGTCTCACTCTCGCTCTCCTAGGTGAAGAAACTGTCTTTTGTCTTCTGTGAATTCTGTTCTATTTTGTTCAGTTCATTTGATTGACTGCAATCCGTCCGACATTTGCAGAAGAAGGAGCAGATCAAGATACTAGTGGCTGGTAACCGAATGTTATGGTTGCAGGGGAAGAAGATAGGTTACCACGTCCAGTGTCGCTGCCATGTGCGTCTCCCCTGCTATTTTCTCTTATTATTGTGTTTTAATCTGACAAGAAGTTGCACTTCATCTCATGCATGAATGAGAAAGTATGAGCCTCTATATACGTCTGATTTTCACCTCTGATTCGGGAGAACCTTGTGATGCAAGGCAATGTGATTTTGTTAGCAATCAGCATCCTTTTATCAAAGGAGAAACCATCCACTGTTTAGGACTCGTGAATCGACTGTACGCAGTGAGTAGTTTGTCAACCTGCAAGCGACATGCTGAGCAGAATGGCGAGCAGGCCACTCAAGTTTTACCTATTGAGAGGAAGATAGTAAACTTTTTAAGTTGATGGATTGCTGTGCTAGAGATATTCAGCACACGCTTATTAAGCAAGGAAAAGTGAAGACGGGTATAATGTAGGGTTTTAAGTTTCCCGTTGAGCTTTGATGCAAGATCCTATAGTTATCTTTAATAGCAGTTTACCGCAAGGAGTACCATTCACTTTTTCCCCAAAACGTCATTTAGGCACTAAACCCTGTGGGAACCATTGAGAAGGTCTTAAACATTTAGATTCTAAATGGGCGTGAATAAGAATTATCATTTTTGTGCTTTTTAAATCGTTTGATTAGTTACCAAAAAATAGTAATGCATGTAGGACGAGATCAAATAGATATCATGTGACGTTTTATGAAATTCATGTTGTAGTCTAAAATTTAGGATCGATCTCCTCTTTTTATAACAAAATTTTTCTGATCTATAAGGAATCACTTGTTTGGTTTGTCCTAGTGAATTACTGGCATAAACTGGCTTTATTGATCAAATCGATCATAGTGAAATGTTGAGTCACTATATATGTATGCAACGCAACCTCTGGTGGATTATCGATCGTGAGCAGAAGGGAAGCATAAGTAAGCGTAGTAGGAACCTATTAATAACATGATTTACATTATTAAGTAAGTCTAGCATTTGTTGCATGAGAGTTGACAAACAATGAGGGAAAACTACTGCTAATTTCAATCAATTGAATACAATGTCTATCTACTTAATACTGACACATATTTTAATTGATTAGTATACCTCTTATTTATAGCTTTGTACCACTATCACGTGAAATTAAAGCAAAGAAATAAAAGGGAAAACTCGAAAAAAGAACCAAAAACCTTGTGAAGGAAGTGCAGCTAGCAACGACATAGATCCTTCCAAACTTGAAAATGCAACAGGATAGTTGTAGGGCTGAAATAATATATATTCCTGATTAAAGAAGCTCCCTAGTAATCCAAATTTCTAACCTGCAAAAGGTTATTGAATAGAACATAGGATTAGTATACTTCTTGATTGGCTGGGTTGATGTAATATTGGGATGTTACTATCCATCCCGTTGTTGTGAACAATAATATATGTATAACAAATCAATGCTTTCGTATAACTGTATTTTCCCTTTAATTTTCTTGTCGGATGGGGATTCAAACTGGATGGATGTTTCAAGAAAGTACCAGTAGAAATCAAATTATCTTTCATCTTAGTAAATTAAGATGCAATCAAGGATATGGAATGGAAAGACGATTGATGAATTTTGTTAATTTCTGAAACCACATAGTTGAGGTCAAAAGAAAAGCAGAAAGCCCTTCTTCCTCGGTTGGGAAAATAGATAGGACAGTTTGAAAAATTGTGAACCAAATCAAAGTACATTGGTATGGACCATAGATCATCAAATATGAGTTGATTTGGTCCATGGTCCTGCATTATGAGCTGTTTTGATATCTTGATATGGTCTAGTATAGAATGCGGTTTACCGGATCAGAAAGTGGACCAAAGCTCAATTCCCAATTCGTATCAGTAGCCACTCACCAACTTTCCCTACTTCCTAACAAGACCCAAGTCTCAACCCTAATTATGCGAATCATGTCCCCTACTTCCTCCAAAGACCACACTCCGATAGAGAGCATAAACTATCATGTCCCTGTAAAGCATTATGTTAATGTTTATGACGTTGGTGCAAGTTGGGTTGCTTTGACTTTGTGTCTTAGGGATATTGGGGTGTAATTGAGGAATCCAATTTGAGTGAATCAGTGAAATTTTGCGGCCATTACCAATCTGCCATCGCAGGCCCTTGACTAATAACTGACGGCCATAAAGGATACTCTGCCATCTCCAATACGGACGAGACCGCGTAATGGCATGAGGAAAGTCCCGATCGGAAAATATTTCCCTTTGTATACCTGGGCGAGGAGCGAATGGGGTTCGTTAATGATATGTCATCTAATCTTGGCCAAGAGCGCCTGATTAAAATGTTTGAATCAGCAAAATCCCATTCCTCCATCGTGCTTACTCCGAGACATATTCCGCCAGGACATCCATCGTAACCGAGAATGACCCCCTTCAATACTCCACCAGAATCTGACCACGTGTCTGTTTGACAAAGATAGTGAGGAAGCTTGAAACAAGACATGACATGTAATGGTAGTGCCAAAAGCGACTGATTTAATCAATGTCTCCTTTGCTGCCCAAGAAAGTGTCCTTTGATTCCACCCCCTGAAGCCGCCCCAACAGCTTTGCCTCCAAAAATTGGAATGTAGCCATTTTTGATTGAGCTGTCAGAGTGGGCAACCCTAGATATTTGTCCTGGACCCCCACAACCCTGACTCCCAGAATCTGAGCAAGAAAAACTTGGTCCGACAGAGAAATATTTTTACTAAAGCATATTGTCGATTTAGCCAAGTTAACCCTTTGCCCATTGAGCTCCTCGTACTCGTTTAAAACCTCAATCAGATTCTCACTCTGATAGCTCAATAAAAAATGGCTACATTCCAATTTTTGGAGAGGCGACCCGCAACAATCGATTCAGGTCCTCGGACCCCTAAGTGAAAATCACAATCAGAAGAGGGGATAACGGGTCCCCCTGACGGAAGCTCAAAATCTCTTATCGGGTTACCTAGTCACAAGGTTGTCAAACCGGTTTAAGTCATTGAGCCGGTCAAGCAAGAGGTTTGAGGGGTCAGACCGGGGGCTTTCTGGAGACCGTTTTGAAGCCCGACTCAGATCGGACCGGGTTCAAATGGGGTTCGATAGGGGTTTAACAACCTTTCCTAGTCATAAGCGGTTAATAATCGATAGTTAGGGGTTAACTGATTAATAACCGATAAGAGTTGTTTTATTTTTAATCAACCATTTGAATGGTGCAACAATTAAAAAGATCATAATCCACCATAATTAATATTAAGAGCATATTAATATCTTAGTTAAGACAATGCTAATCATGATTATACAAGACTAAGCGTAGAATTATAATCAACATTCAAAGCATATTAATAAGCACATTAAAACAATAATAAAGGGTAATTCCCAAAAAATGGGATCAACTATAACCAAAAGCCATGCCCATTAATTAAATAAGTGCTCACTACCGTGGAAACGTAAAATTGCAGTTCATCCCTTTTGTATGATAAGTAATGGGAGAGGGATAAGAATCTAAGCTAATAGCCGTTTTCATGGCTGCAAAATTTTTAAAAAGTATGATTTTCCTCTCGCCTATCAGTAAATAATACTACTTTTACAATGTAATTCTATGAATCAAATTCAAAATGGGGGCGAGAGGGAGGGAGAGAGATCATCCAAACGCTTGATTAAAGAAAGAACAACATTGTGGGAGAGGGAGAGGATTCGCTTGGGAAATAAAGTTGGGGACTGACTGTCAGAGGAGAATGAGTCATTAAAAGGAATTTTAAAATCTCTTATCGAGATACCAAGTTATAAACGGTTAATAAACGACGTTTAGTGGTGGGTCAAATTCACAAATCTAGCACCACGCTCTCTTTCAAGCGAATAGGCGGTTAACCGCTAATCGCATCGATGGTTAACAGTTAACCGCTAAGTCTTGGCGGGTCCGCTAACAGTAATGATTTTTTGGTTGGCGGGTAACCGCTAACCGACCCGACTATCACCTCTACATTATACCCAAGGACCTGCTTCGATCCCATTGAGAAGACTGTTTTACGAATTTCACTGGGAAGGATGTCCACCGTAACTCCGTAAGACTAGTATTCATCTCAGCCATTACTTTGCGGGCTATCGGTAGATCTGCGATCCTGGCTTCCATGTTCAGAGCTTGATCCTCCGAAGTGAAGAGAGTTTGATAAAAATCATAGATGTTATTTTTGAAAAAAGCTTACGAATGAACATAATTTGATTTATGTTTGTAAATCTAGTAAGAGTAATAATGATAGATTTAGCACGATCGACTGAATTGAGTATTTCCATAAAATACTAATAAAAAAGAATCCCATAGAGTAGGGTAAAAAGCGAAGTATTATTCAACCAAAACCTGATTCGGTTTCCCTCCTACCAGTGTTTCACAAACCCTTCTCCCTCCCTTGCACCCTGGGATTCCCACGCATCCATCTAGTGTTCCCCTCCCCCAACACCCATAAAGTAGGGTAAAAAGCGAAGTATTATTCAACCAAAACCTAATTCGGTTTCCCTCCTACCAGTGTTTCACAAACCCTTCTCCCTCCCTTGCTCCCTGGGATTCCCACGCATCTATCTAGTGTTCCCCTCCCCCAACACCTTGCTCCCAGAAATTGTCACAATTTCCAGCGAGAGAAAAGTTTAAATATCTTGAGATGACTACCAAAGAGGCTGAAGATAGTGACTTGCCGAGCAAAAACTTGATATTGCATTGTTCGAAGATCGCTAAGTAATGACTTGGATAGTGGAGGTGCGAATGGACTTCTACTTCCAGAGAGTCTTGGAAAATGACAGAAAAATGAAAATTTCTGATGATTGCAGAAATCTCATTTTTCATCAAGGAAGTTAGTTCGGTAAAGTGGTAAGTAATGCATTTTTTTGGAGGGGGGTGGAGGGGAGAAAGGGGACAAAAAATGGCCAAAATGTAACAAATGTATCATTTCATCCAACATTCCGTTAACTAACCATTAAAAGGGACCAAAATGACCAAAATGTCTCTCTTTTATTAAATAACATTTTTTTCTTGTTTTACTGCATAATAAAAAAAATTAAAAGGAGAATATAAATAAAAGGTTTAGATTAAGTATGAAAAATTAAATGAGTTAAATAGTTTTTCTTATTTTTAAATAAATAAAATGAAATATATGTGAGGGGCAATTTGATAATCTTTAGTGTCTCTTTAACGATCAACAAACAAAATTTTGGATGAAATGATAAATTTGTTACGTTTCAATAATATAGAGGTATATCTATGTAAAAATGTAATAGATGAGAATGTTTGTCAACTTACAATAGTATATGAGTATAAAATGCTATTAATTGTTTTCTTTTTTATTTTTCAAATTGTCATTGGTTATAAAACATCGTTCTACAGTGCGTTGTCATTCTACTTGCTATGACTTTTACCTATGAGCTATAACTGAGATTTGTCATTCCTTTTGCTTCTTTGTTTATGGTTTTTGTTCTTGATGGTTTTTGACTTTTTTCTTTCGTTAGTTAGCATATGAATTTTCTCTCACCATTATATTTCTTGAATCAAATTTGGTAGTGTATGAATTTTGATAAATGTATGTATATGTAAGCAAGTAGATTGTATGAAAAGGATGTTTTAAGAATTTCA